ATTTGTTTCTTTAGTAAATCCGTCAGCCATATCAAAGAAAGCTGTGCCCAAGATTTTCACTATAAGCGTATGACGCAACAAATCTTCGGAAAAGTTTATAGGTCAAAGTGCTCACTGCATGCTTACAAACCTCTGTCGCCGAGGGTGGGAACTGAAAGATACATTTGAGGACATTATTTACATAGACAGGATAAGATAAACACACTTTCGCTTAATATCAAAATAATGGCACGCCATACTCGAACTAAATGTAAAACGCACATTTCAAATCATAAAAGCAGGCATGAGCATTTCTAACAAAATGAAAGTATTATGTTTTATAACTAATTACATGACATATAATTTGCACAATGTACTTACTCTTTAGGGGCACAAACACCAAAATACAGATCATTTTTTATGTACGAAAAACAAGCACTCGGCACATCTCGGCCGATTCGTGCCTCAACTAACCTCGGCTGTGTCATGTAAACCTCCACTGAACCGGAGCTACTTTCTCATATACGCAATATGGCTGCGCCATATAATTGCACGTGTACAGTGAGCTGAATTCGATCCGTTAACAGACATGTGATTATGTAAAGATACTAGGTGCATGTTTCTTGGTAATTGCTATTCTTAGTGTTACCTAAATGCTTTTGAAAATTTGTATCGTATGTCAGATGCATATTTATCATCGGTTTCAAAGCCTTACGTTTTCCCTAAGCGGTAAACAGGCAGTCTTATCACAAATGTTAAGCGGAGACGCATATCAAGTTTCCTTGTACAGCCGAGGTTTACCGAATGGTCTATGTCGGAACTAACTGTAAAAACTATTAATCGAACCAAATCCGGAATCAATTCCGGCACCACTACAATCTGCACATTGCAATATAGGAATAAACATATGTCTCATAATGCAACAAAACACCGTCTGTTCATGAGACATATAGGACAAGGTTATGTATCTATTAATCTAGTACCTTAGTTTTCCTTTGATTTCCACTGCAAAGGGCAAATGTTTTCCTCGTGTCATCGATATGGATGAAATAAACCACCTGAACAATATCACATCAATTAAAAAAAATAAGATGGACAGTAAAGGAATTATTCCGTTTTATTGTTTCCATATAAGAAAACAACTCTGATATTTATTTGCTTTCTGCATGGATGGAAGTTTTCTGCAGTTCTCCATCTCCATAATTAACTGTGCAGAAAGCCTTTGCGAAAGTGATTCAGGAAGTGCATTCATTTTTACCAAAGGTTTCATTAAATATCACTGTCCTTCAATGTAAAGATTGTTATTTTTTACTGTGTTTCTTGAAAACAAATACTTTCTTTAGAAGTCTTTAGGTTTAATATCTTGAAACAGTTTGATATCTTTCATCTTTGATAAATGTCCCTGAAGACATATCAAGTCATTATAAGTCGGATGGATTTCAGAACATTGCTCTTTTTTAACATCATAATTTCAATTTTTGTCCCTTTTTCTTCACTGAATTGGACAGTAGACCTCTTGTTGCTCTAGTTCTCCTTATTCTTTAACCAAAAATTGAACAACCTTCACTGTATCCTTAGACTCTGCTACAATGAACATAATTTGTTTGCATGAGTCAAATTTGTCTTCTGAATGAAATATTGGGATGGCATAGAGGTAATGATGTTGAAAACATCCATCTTAATTATCGTAAAAAGAGTTCAAGGGGTAGGTCAGAAAGCAGTTTTATACACATTGTGCATTGGGTAGATATCCACTAGCAGTAGAAATGAAAAAAAAAGTGTCAAATACTGTCTCAAGTTAAGAAAGTCAGATAATTGTATACTCATTGTATATTGTTTTACGTAATGGCAATTGGACTATGTGTATTAAAGAAGAGTTGGAAAGACTAGGCTTGAGGTATTTATATTTGTACATATAAAATAATTGAGCTAAGGATGACTGATGTTAATAGACAAAGTAATTTTTGAAATGTATCTTTCAAAAGGACAACTGTACAAGTACCTTGTGAGTAATTTTGTATTACTAACATATTAAACAAAGCCTATTGATAATAAAAATCTGAGAATGCTTTTCAAGGTGAGATTGGCAAACCACCAATTAAAAAATGAAACTGGTAGATATAAAAATACATTAGGACCTCAAAGAGTTTACACACTCTGATCTTCTAATGATAATTATGTTGAATTTCATTTTATGAAGGTCTGAGAATTGCTTACATTTAAGAAATATTATTATGAAAAACCAAGTTTTTTAAACACAAGTTTAATGGTCAAAAGGTGAAAGAGCTACCTTATTTGGGTATTTACAAAGTCACAGCTCTACGAAAGTCCAATTTGTAATTATTATTTGATATCTATATCCTTGTTTCGTATGTATGCAATTGGAAATTGCTTTATTTTGTATGCTTTACATCCTGTATAATTTTTTAGGAGCCTTTGGCTTAAAGAATACAAGCTAATTCAGAGAATATGTGTCCCCCGCTGAAGGGAAGGGAATAGCATGCGCGGATCTAGGGAGGGAGCACTTTAAGAAGGGCAGACGGGGCCATAGGGAGTTATGGTAAAAAAATTAATTGCAAAAAAATCAAGAGCTTCTTGAGATATGGAAGTTCGGCTATGTAAATATGAAAAAGAAATGAAAGTTTTGAACTCAGAATGTATGAATTTACGATCTTGATCTTTGGACCTCAAACTTTCTTGGGCAAAAGGGAGTTGTGGTATAAAACTGAACAACAAAAGCTCCAAGCCTTCGGGATATCGCGCTGAAACAAGTGTTAAAACAGGCAGAGTTTATGACCTTTAAAACTCAAAATCAACAGGGATCTTCCTTAGGCCATATGCAATTCTGTAAAATTTCATTGCAAAAGCCCAAAAGCTTCTCGAGATATCCCGCGAAAACAAGTATAACACACAGACAGAAAGATAGACAAACGGGCGGACAGACAGCCGAAATTAATATCCCCCACTTTCGGTGAACGCGGTGGACAAAATTAACTTAAATAAAAGAAAATTAGAGAAAATTTGAACAATTAATTCAAATCTATATCACAGCGAATGGAAGGGGCGACAAAGATGACAAATTTAAAAACTAATATTTTGCTTCATCTGATCGGCCCAGATGCGGTGAAGATAAATAACACTTCTGAATTTGAGGACGCCAGGAACAAACTAAAGTTGAAACCCTTCCTAGATAAGTTCATGGAATACCCTGATCCAAGGAAAAATGAAATTTTTGAGCATCACACAACTCAAGTAATAAAGGACCATCAGAGCCAATTGACAGTTATGTCACCGACTTAAAAATAAAAAAAGGCTAAATCATGCGAATTTGGCGCAAATCATGCGAATTTGGCGATATCAAGGATTTCTTAATATGGGACAGGATCTTATAAGGAGTGACAGCATTATTGGAATCGGCTACTAAGAACTTCGGATCTCGCCCTGGAGAAAAACAGTTGATATTTGAAAAGCGACAGAAGCAACAGAAAATCGAATGAAGCTCATGACAGAGAAAGAGACAAGTACGGAGGGCGTTGACCTCATAAGGAAGCTTGTGCGCAAAAAGGTGTAAAGAGCCATGGACCGAGAAATTGTCCTGCATGTGGGAAAACACTCTCTAAAATGTGAAAAATAGCCAAAACTCAGACAGTAATTGCAGTGAAAATCCAAAGCAAAGCTCGTGTCCTACTCTATTAAAAAAACGTAAGAAAAAGGGATGCTTACTTGAGCGTAAAAAGGAAAATGCTACAATCTAGTCTTCTATGTAGTGAATGATGATGGCTCAACAGTGCTAGGATTGAATTCTTTTGTCGAGATGAATTTCTTTGCAAGAGTTAACACCGTGAGTAACAAAGGGGTAATCTTAGATTTTGGAGGAATTAGAAAAATAACAGACAAATTCAACAAATCAGTAACACTATCAGTAAGTCCTGTAGTGCATGCACCTAGTTCCTTTCACAATTAAACGGAAGGTAAAAACCAAATTAGACGTCATGGACAAACAAAAAATAATTGCGAAAATTTAATAGCCTACAGAATGGGTCATTACGATGATTGTGTTGGATAAAAGTAATAAAGACCGTATACGTCTAGACCCCCAAGATCTCAATAAAGCTGTGAGGAGAGAGCATTTTCCTATGAAAACCGTAAAAGGATTTACAACGATTTATGGACATTGTTAACTAAGTGGGAAAGTTTATACCGAATCTCGCAACTCTGAATAAACCCCTACGTCAACTAGAACAAAAGGAACTAGTTATAATTGTAACGGGGACCGTTACAGATGTTCCCCAAACGCTCCCCAACTCCCTTTTGGTGACTTTTTTCCTGTAAGCTTCATTAATTAAGACAATGAAGTATATTGGTCATTTTTTGCATTTCACGCGCGCGCACGTGCATGCATGTGCAGGATGACCATGTCATCCCGTCTATACTATATATGCATCTTTATATTCTCAGTATCAAAACGTTTCATCAAAAAATATATAAGTTCCGGCTAAATCAAGCATATTGGTCATCTTAGCATTGCGCGCACGCGCACATGCATGCATGTTCATAATGACCATGCCATTTTGTGTACACTTATAATATGTCTGTTAATTCATAGTATCAAAGCTTTTCATAAAAAAATATAAAAGTTACAGCTATATTAAGTATATTGGTCATTTAACACATTGCACGCCCGCGCATGTGCATGATGGCCAAATCATCTTGTCTACACTTTAATATATCTATATATTCTTAATATCAAAGCTTTTCATCAAAAAATATAAAAATTACGGCTATATTAATTATATTTGTCATTTAACACATTGCACGCGCGCGCACATGCAAGCATATGCATGCATGTGCATGATGACCATGTCATCTTGTCTACTCTTTCTATATATATAAATATTTTGAGTATCAAAGCATTTCATCAAAAAGTATAAAAGTTACGATATTATCAAGTAAATTGGTCATTTTGCGCGTGCGCGCACGCGCATGCACGTGCATGTTGACCATGTCATCTTGTTCACACTTTTAATATATCCTTATATTCTGAGTATCAAAGCATTTCACCAAAAAATATAAAAATTACAGCTATATCAAGTATATTGGTCATTTTACCCATTGCACGCGCACGCACGTGCATGCACGTGCGCGCAAAATGACCTTTGTTCCGCAAATCTACATAACATGCCTATTAACCCTAAAAAGGTTTTAACTCAATTGAATGAGCAGTTTCCGTGAACACTCGCGGACAAAAAAGTACCGGAGAAGAAATAAGAAGAAAAAAGAATAATAATAATAACTAGATGCGTTTCTTGTTGCTAGGGCAACAAGTGGTCTTCCGACCGAACTTTTCTCCAGATCGCTGTGCTACCTCACTTCATTTAATACTTTATTGAAGGTATTTTTTGTTTGCGTTTATGTAACATAGTCTTTCAACATAGATCATGATTATTAAAGGATTTCTGTAGAATCTCTGTTAAAAAAGCTTTAAAAAATAAGCAAAAACTATCACACATGTCTTCACAGAGAAAAATATCATTTACAACTGATAAAAGAGAGAAACAATCTACCGCCCCAGCAGGATTCGAACCCGCAACAATACGAGAAAGTTTGGATCGGTCATATCTTTGCAATAAATGTGGTCATATGAAAGATATGGAGATAACGAACAGTATTCAAGCTCAAAAGTCCATTAAACAATACAAAATAGGAGCAGAGCAAACACGGACCTCCAAACATCAGAGGTGGGATCAGGTGCCATGGAGGAGTGAGCATCCCCTGCCGACCGGTCACTTCCGCCGTGTGCTCCTTGTCATGATCGGGAAATCACGGAAAAATCCGTCGACAATTCAGTGTGTAAATAATGGCCCAACAATTAGTATGAAAAACGTCAGTCAGCATTTGACTCAATGATAAATTGTATTTGCTGACAAGGTCATTGTATCGACCATAGAACTTACGAAATGATGACTTTAAACGAGACAGCTGATATTCTTGTTTCATCAACTTATTTGTCAATAATTTACCTCGTTTTAGAAATTGTACATACGTAGAGCATGCTCTTGCGTATCGAATCAACTGAGAGATATATACCCAGTATGCAGGTGATGAAGGTATATTACTGCATAAGTAAGGGAAGTTGACGATTGAAAAGTTAAAGTCATCACGTTTATCATAAAGCTTGGTTGTTAGATTACCATTAACATCTTTTTCAAGTAAAATATCCAAATATGAAACAGATGTTTCAGACTCTGTAGTATCTTTTATTTCAAGTTCACCAGGATATATCGTATCGACATAAGAATGGAAATAGCCATTGTTAATTGACAATACGTCGTCGATATATCTAAATGTCGAGTTGAAGACCACAGCAAGTGTTTTCTTCTTTTCACGTACAAGATTTTGGACAAATTCTGCTTCATATGAATACAAAAAAAAGGTCTGCTAATAACGGGGCGCAATTGGTACCCATGGGAATTCCAATAGATTGTTGGAAGACCTGGTCTCCAAAAACCACATAGATATTGTCAATCAGAAACTCAAGCATCTTTTAAATGTCAACTTCAGAGTACTTGTGTGTACAATCAGAATGTTTTTTAACAAAATAATTTTGCAAATGACCAATGACAAGGTAAGTATATTTACGAGTTCCATTTTTATTGAAAAAGCAGCTGTCAATGATATCAAAAAGCCTGGACTTTAATTTATCGTGGGGAATGGTTGTGTATAAAGTTGAAAAGTCGTAAGTTTTAAAGCTGTTGATTTTGGTAAAATCTTGTGATTTCAAATTTTCCAAAAGTTCCTTGGAATTTTTAAGTATCCACATCTAATTTACACCACTTCTCGAATATATTGTTGCACAGTACTCTTGAAGTTTCTCCTTCACCACTGTTAATATCTTAGTGAGGAGTAAAGATAGAGGCTTGGTTGAACATATACTGGAACCCGCTATGTATCTTTGTTTGTAAGGATTTTTATGAAGTTTCGGAATCCAATATAAATATGGTAATTCGAATTCATTTTGGTTGTTTGGAATATTAAAAATATTCAAAGCTGACATATGATTTTGAAAAAGTTCTTCCTTAGAAAGGGAACTATGAGTATAAATTGGATTACCACTTGTAGAATTAAATCCAAGTTCCTCTAAAATACATTTAATATAATGAGTCTTACAAACAAAGACAATGTTGTTACCTGCTTTGTCAGCAGGGACCAGTACGTACTGATCATGTAATCTATCTTTGTATTACATATCTTTGCAACAAATGCATCAATCAAAATGATAAAAACAGACTTAGAACTCTTAGAAGACTCTCTATTAACCCTGTAAATCCCAGAGAAAAATATTGAAAAACAAAAAAGTTACAAATTTAACATTTTTGAATTCACTTCCGTTTGCGACCGGAAGTACGAACGACGGAAAATAATGGTCGATCAACATATCTACATTTGATGTTCTATCACCTCAGCAAGTTTCATATTCATATCTTATCATATATATCGAAAGACCTTAATAATAACAAGTAAACTAATTGTTCAGAGAACAATTAGAGGCTTTCCACCTTTTTAAGTGTTTTCGTGTCGTTTAGGCCGAAAAAAAGAAAAATGCCAAAAAAAAAAAAAAAAAAAAAAAAAAAAAAAATCCTCCTCCACCTGGGATCGAACTCAAAACCCTTGGTTTGAAAGGCAGGTGTTCTAACCACTGCGCTACACATTCCGATAAAATTGAGTAAGTTAATTGTTTAAGACTATAGAATAAATACAAGCGTATTTTTAGAATCGGTAGGGGAAGAAAGAAGTTCCGTAAAAGGAAATAGTTCCTGAACTTGCAAGCAGTATATAAAATAACAAGGGACGGGTGTGCGTGAGAAAATGTTAACACTGTTCCCTTGTTCCCTAATGAAAATGTATTAATGGACTGTAGCCCGATTCATCGATATTGTGAGCATGCTGAATTTTTTGAAAATAGCTTTGTTGTAAGCTTAAAAGATCGGGTTCGGATTTTAACATTTCTGACTGAATATCCTGAAATAAATATGAAACATTTCAATAAGCATTTCTTTGGGTTAAATTAAATATGTGTAGCACAAATTAAACTCCCAACATGCATTTTTAGAAGGGAAACACGACAATGAAAGCGAGAATTGTTTTTAATATACCGAAAATCGCTATTTCTGGAAACTGATTAATTCTAAATAAAAATCAAATAAATTCCAAATGTAAAAGAAAGAGAGAATGCTTGGTATTAAAATGTCGTATCATATCAGGAAAATCGAATGCTACTAACGACATCTGAAGAAATAGCCGCTAAAAGGTTTAGATCATTTCTTCGTCCACCTGCACTTTAATTTCAAACACAACAGAACTTGTAGTTCTTGCCGTGAAACTTCATGACTTCTATAAACTTATAAGTCTCACCGTAAAACTCTCAAGAAAGTTTCTTTGAGGTCTATGCTACATATGTACCAAATATGTTGTCGATCCGAGGTCTGGTTTGAATTTTACAGAAATATTCTACGTTGTTGTTGATGTGATTTTTTTTTAAGAAGGGGGGGGGATGAATTATTTATTTTATGCCTCTTATAAACTAAGAATTGTAACTACTTTCACATCTTTAAGCCTGATTGTGACCTGTGGGTCAAGATCAAAGGTAAAGGTCATTTCCAAAAAAAAAAAAAAAAAAAAAAAAAAAAAAAAACCCAAAACAAAAAAAATCTTTACTTTCTATGTTTTTACATGATACTGGAGCTGGATGCATGTCCTTACTTTTCATTTGACCCAATGTCAAGGCCAAAGGTCAAGGTCAAAGTTCAAGGTCATTTGGTGAATTGCTATATTTTACAAATATATAAGGAATTTCTTATGTTTTTAAATGACTTTGACCTTGACCTATATTTCAAGGTCAAAGTCAAACATGCCGATGCAGTTGGTCCCATGTCTCTAGGATACACCGTTTTAAAAAAAAGTTCATTAAATGTAAGCAGCATAAACTTTCAGGGGCAGTAACTCATACAAGGGACCAAAGAATGCTTTTGCAATGATAGAATGAAGAGAGTATTAAATGAGTCGAAGACGCTGCTGAAGGCTTGGAATCTCTACATTTTACGGTTTCGGAGGAGTAGCGATAACAAGGTTTTATTGCAAAAGGGGTGACAACTTTTGAATGGGTCAAGCTTTGGGGACAAGAATGAAATCCTTAAAATAGTTTTAGAAGGACATATTATAGATGCAAAGATATTCAGTATATGTCGAAAGGTTTTCTACAGAATCTCTGACAAAAAAGCTTTTAAAAATCAGCAAAAACTACCATACATGTTTTTAAAGAGAGAGAAGTCATTAGCAACTGAAAAAAGAGAAAAACAAAGAAAAAAAATTAACTACCTCCAGCAGGATTCGAACCCCAGACAGTGGGACAAAGTTTGGATCGGTCATATCTTTGCAATAAATGCACGCATCAAAATATTGAATACATATTTAGAATTTTTGTAAAACACTCTATAAACCCTGTAAATCCTAAAGAAAAATATTGAAAAACAAAAAAGTTGAAAAATTGGACTTTTTGAATTCACTTCCGTTTGCGACCGGAAGTGGCGACGACGAAAAATAAAGGTCGTTCCCCATATTGGAATTTGATGTTCTATTTATTCATTGAGTTTCAATTTCATATCTTTAGCCGTTGTCGAGAAAAATTCTGGACAAAATGCCATTTAAAAAATACAAATTTCCCCAAAAATCGCGAACGGAAGAGAATTTTGAAAAAATGAAAAACATGTCTGGAGATATTTACATGATGCATCTTCCGCGAAAAAATCTCTGAAATCTGCTCACTCACAGCTGAGATATCGCCATAACTATGAAAAAAAGAATAATAATAATAATAATAATAGAAAACAGACGGAAAACAGTAAGGTCTTCCGAAGGAAGTCGGAAGACCTTAATAAAAAGGGACGGGCTGCGTGAGAAAACGTTAACACTGTTCCCTAATGAAAATGTATTAATGGACTGTAGCCCGATTCATCGATATTGTGAGCATGCTGAATTTTTTGAAAATAGCTTTGTTGTAAGCTTAAAAGATCGGGTTCGGATTTTAACATTTCTGACTGAATATCCTGAAATAAATATGAAACATTTCAATAAGCATTTCTTTGGGTTAAATTAAATATGTGTAGCACAAATTAAACTCCCAACATGCATTTTTAGAAGGGAAACACGACAATGAAAGCGAGAATTGTTTTTAATATACCGAAAATCGCTATTTCTGGAAACTGATTAATTCTAAATAAAAATCAAATAAATTCC